AGTGATTCTCCTGCCTCTGCCTCCTAAGTAGCTGGGACTACAGGCGCCAGCCACAACGCTACTTTTTGGTTGCAGCTGCCATTGTTGTTTTGTTGTAACCCAGCCCTCTTTCCCCTGCCCACTCCTGTTCCCCAGCCCTCACCTGTTCCCCCCTCCTCCAGCCCATTTCCTTCCTCCTCCCTTCTCCCCCCAGAGTCAACTCAGGAACAAGGCAAGTCCCTCCTCCCCCCATCGTGGCTGAGAACAGTGCTTCCCAGCCACATTCCCAGGCCCCCTCCTTTCCCTAGGGTCGCCAAGAACAAGCTTCAGGTACAAGGAAGAAAAGTCCCAAGTTTCACAAAACCCCCAAGTTCTCAGTAAATAAAAAAGGTGGAAAACTCACTGAGACTTAATTACTGTTGTATAACCATCCATTGTGATATGAGATGTATCCATTGTCAACCGAAGCTGTATTAATTATTGTCCATTGCTGTATCCATAACTACCCAAGTTGTAACCCCCCCTTAACCAGCCACGTTTTGCTTCTGTAATATGCTTGCCCAAAGCCTATAAAGGGCAACTCACCCTCACACCTGGGCTGCTGACTGTCTCTCGGAGCAGCAGCCCCTGCGGCAGGTAAAATAAATTACCAATTAATTAACCTAAGTGGAGGTCCGACTCATTTTTCCACCTCTCCTAAGTTATTTCAGTTTGGCGGGCCCAGGCTGGATTCCAACCAGCTCAGGTGTATATGGCTGATGCCTTAGCCGCTTGAGCCACAGGCACAGAGCCGCCTGGCTATTTTTAGAGGCAGGGGTCTCTGTCTAGCTCAGGCTGGTCTCAAACTCGTGAGCTCAGGCAATCCGCCTGTCTCAGCCTCCCAGAGTGCTGGGCAGGCGTGAGCCATCTTGCCCTGATTTTTTGTTTACTTATTTTGTGGGGGGGTAGAAACAGAATCTCACTTTGTCGCCCTCAGTAGAGTGCTGTAGCATCACACAGCTCACAGCAACCTCCAGCTCCTGGGCTTAGGCGATTCTCTTGCCTCAGCCTCCTGAGTAGCTGGGACTACAGGCACTGGCCACAATGCCCGGCTTTTTTTTTGTTGCAGTTTGGCTGGGGCAGCGTTTGAACCTGCCACCCTTGCTAAATGGGGCTGGCGCCCTACCCACTGAGCCACAGGCCCCGCCCTTGTTTTGTTTTGTTTCGGTTTTTTAAGACAGAGTCTCTCAAGCTGTTGCCCTGGGTAGAGTGCTGTGGTGTCCCAGCTCACAGCAACCTCCAACTCCTGGGCCTAAGCGATTCTTTTGCCTCAGCCTTCCAAGCAGCTGGGACCACAGGAGCCCACCACATGCCCAGCTATTTTTTTTGGTTGTAGTTATCATTGTTGTTTGGCAGGCCTGGGCTGGATTCGAACCCACCAGCTTCAGTGTATGTGGCTGGCACCCTAGCCACTTGAGCTACAAGTGCTGAGCCTTGTTTATTTTATTTTATTATTTTTTTAAACAGTCTCACTTTGTCACCCTGGGTAACATGCTATGGTGTCATAGCTCACAGCAACCTCAAGCTCCTAGGCTCAAGTGAGCCTCTTACCTCTGCCTCCCAAGTAGCCACATGCATCACCCCCCATTCCTAGCTTTTTTTTTTTTTTTTT